CTGGGACTCTGGGCTTTATTAACATTTAGCTTTCCTTTTGTATGCTAAATATAACTTAGCATACTCTTTAACATTTATTAATCTAGTATCACTTGATGTTCTAATTTACTCTCCATGTCAGCATCTAATTTACTACTAATCTTTTCAAGAGTTAAGATCCTAGAAACCTTGCTTCTTTAAACACTGCTACCGATTTGGGAAATACCAGAATCAAAGGAGTTGGTGTGGCAGCTCATTACTGAACTGTGAGCTCTAGATCTATTGAGTTACTGCCAGAAAATATTTGCACTCTATAATCGTGGACTTTATCCTTTCGTCAGTGAGATCTAAAGTAGACTACCTGAATATGGTTAGTGCTTCCTGATGATCTTTCTTGGAAATGAGGAATCCTTGTCAATCTCACTACAGTTCTGCCCTTTAAAAGTGGTGTGCTGGGGCCAATAAAGCAGGCAGGTATTGCTCCTGAATAAACAGCTCATCAAAAGTCTGAGAACAGAAGGTTTAGAATGTATCAAAACAATTGGCACAGTTGTTCACTAGTTAATTAGGAACACAAAGGCACTTTCGTCAAGCTGCCCAGACCAGGGGGCCATCTGCGTGACAGCATTGTCTCTCTGATGATATGTACAAATAGAGCTTAGCTGGTGCTCTCGAGGGAAGTCTCGTTGACCTTCCTGCTTTAAAATACATATAAAGCATATGGAAGAGATGAAAAATTGAATATAATCATAGAATGAGCCCCATTTTTAAGTGTTTAGTCTTCTGGAGAATTTCCTAGGGACTTATGCCCTATTTAGGTTAGTTTTGATAATTGCTTTATTTTACTGCTACATATTTTAGTAATATTGTAATTATTCCCAGTCTATGGAGGTTATGGCCCTTCTCATGCAATAATACATAATGTATTATAATTGCTTTTTTAAGTTTTCTGCTTCCTCCACTATGTGTGATTTTCTGAAGATAGGAACCATATCTATTTTGTTTAATTTTATGTTTCCTTTACCTAGTACAGTTCTGGAGTATGGTAAAATAATGTGATGATACTGAAAAGTTTTATTTTTTTTAAATAAAGTTTTTTGTTTCGGGCGCCTGGGTGGCTCAGTTGGTTAAACGACTGCCTTCAGCTCAGGTCATGATCCTGGAGTCCCGGGATCGAGTCCCACATCGGGCTTCCTGCTCAGCAGGGAGTCTGCTTCTCCTTCTGACCGTCTTCCCTCTAATGCTTTCTATCTCTCATTCTCTCTCTCTCTCAAATAAATAAATAAAATCTTTAAAAAAAATAAATAAATAAATAAATAAATAAATAAATAAATAAAGTTTTTTGTTTCTTCTGGCTTCCTGGAAACCATATGCCCATACTTGGCTTTGTAAACAAGTATATTAGTATCTGAATCTGCTTTGTGTAATAATATTTTTGTTCCTTGTAACTCTTAAACCTGCATGAAGGGAGAAAGCTATTGAAATGTACACTGATACATAAATTTGAGCATCACTTCTATTTGTTAATTCTATCCTGTTATTATCTAAGTTGCCACCATTATAAACACCATAAGTTTATGCCAGAAAGATGCTGTAGGAGGCCACTGTATTTGGTATGATTTCCTTCAGGTCAGTCATTGATAATGAATGGGTCTCATTCCTAGGACTCCTAGTGGCTCACCCATACGTTATCAAGGGACAAATAGAACCAATGTACATGCATCATCACCTATTTTTCTAGTAACTTCCTTTCTGATTTCTTGGTAGAAGTAGATGCTGCTTCTTTGTGTCACCAAAGTTCCTGATACTTCAATTACAGACCTATGTATTTGCATGTCTATTTTCCCAAACAGACAATGAATCGTGAAGTCAGCAGTCCTAACCTATTTTCCCTTGCATGCTTCAACTGAGTGCACTAAGTTGAGTATACTTAATGGCATGACAAAATAACAACCTAAGTGATACTTAGTGAATACTTGGTGAATGGATTGTTCTAATTCATCAGAGACTAAACATGAGATGACAAAGATACATATATTTTTACCTGGTATTTTGGAAAGTAAATAGACTTTTATTCTGTTCCTAGTAAGAACAAAGCAGGATTTCTATAACTAAAGGCTGATATTCAAAGAAACTCTAAATCAGTCTCTTCAATCATGCCTATTATTATTTTTGTCCTTTAGAAATCATTTATTCCTTTCTAAATTACTTTGGTACATGACTCACACCCGTCCCTGTCATAAACCTTTTGCAAAGACCTATTAGAACTATGGACTCCATAGATTTTAAATTCTTCCTTGCTTTAATAATGCTTTAAGGACATAAATAAATAAATTGCTTTTCTTTTTTTAGAGTTTTTATTCCAGTTAACATACAGTGTAAATACTCAGGTGTACAGTATAGTCATTCCACCCTTCCATAACACACCCGGTGCTCCTCACAACAAATGCATTCCTTAATCCCCCCACCCAACTCCCCTCTGGTAACCATCAGTTTGTTCTCTATAGTTGAGTCTTGTCTTCTTTAATTCTCTAACATCTTCTTTTAAAACCATTTACTTCTTTTCTTCATTATATCTTTTCGCTTTTTTCACCTTTTTATTGAAAAGGTGAACCACAATCTTGATGATATGTAAGAAGGACATAAAACACTCAGAAAAAGCCATTATACTCATGCTTACAGTTTATTACTGTAGAGGATACAAACCAGAGTCCTCAAAGGGAAGAAACACATGGTCAAATTCCAGGAGAAAACAGGTACAAGCTTCTAGGTGTCTGCCCCATTGGTAGAACCATGTAGAGATGCACTTTACTCTCCCAGCGACAACGTCTGACAATACTGGCAAGGTGTTGCCAACCAGGGAAGCCTAACCACGTCTTGCTGTCCATGGTTTTCATTGGGGTTTAGTCACATAGGCAGGTAGCACCTGTATGACCTCAGGCCTCAGGCTCTAACTGTCCCATTCTTCAACCCCAGAACAAAAACATGCATCCACCATAAATCATATTGTTAGGTAAACTTATTTGGTCAAAATGGTACAGCATGGCTCTAAGTTTCAAGCGTACAAAAACAGGTATTCATTTTAAATACTACCAGGCCAAAAGCTTCAGGCATACAAAACTCTCATGTCAGGCAGAATATTCAAAAGCTCAGAAGTTATCTTCCAAGAGTGGGCTGAGGGTCACTCCTGAAGATAGATAGGCCTTTCTTTGGAATATGCAGGTTTTGAGCAACCCAGACATGTTGAATAAAACCTGTCTGTCCAACAGTCAGAGAGTGAAGTACACAAAATGCACTCATTTTAAGGTAAGAGATCATTAAATTTTTGCATATGGTACAGCTGTGTCTCCAGATAAAGATACAGCTTATATTTCTTTAAGCTATCTACATTCTTATATTTCCAGTAAGTTTCTTACAGATTTCATTTAGTTATTTTTTAACCACTCTAGTAATCTTGTTTTTTTTAGTTGCTGTGAACATATGATTTAGTTGTTTTTTTAAGTCTGTGACCTATTTTTTTTTCTATTTGTCCTAGCCATAAAATTCTTACTTTACACTTATGACATTTGTGTACCCACATTTGTCCCCTATGTCACAATTCTTCATAAACTAGCCAATAATTATTCTTTCCTTGTTTCTGCGCATAGGGCATCCAATTAGAGATTATAGTTCCCATTTGGCCAGATATGGTCATGAGATCAATGTCAAACTCATAGGAAATTAGAGTGATGTGTGAAATGTCTGGACTATTTCTAGCTTAAGTACATTCATACATAAAATAATTTTCCCTGGACTTAGTCGCATTTTTCTTTCTGATTCTAAAATATGAATGGATATGTAAACTAGACTTTTCTAACCTAGGGCAATTCTCTAGAGAATGGCAAAGGAAGAAGCTAGAAAGAACCCAAATCCTGAGTGGCTGTTCCCTAGTGGGGTGTTGAAGTCCCCATTAATAATTGTGGATTTGTCTATTTCTCCCTTTTACCTCCAGCAGTTTTAGCTTCATGTATTTTGAGACTCTGGTTGGTTGGTACACATTCAGCATTGTGCACCATTATGCAATGATTTTATCCTTTTATCTTTTAATCATTATGAAATGTCCATCATTGTGTCTAGTCATTTGCTTTGTAGTCTTCATTTGATATAGCCATTCACTCCTGCTTATTTGCTTAACATTTGTACAGCTTTTTCCATCCTTTTACTTAAACCGACTTTTGTCCTCTAATTTGAAGCAAGTTTCTTGTAAGACACATAGTCAGATCATGCTTTTTGTCCACTCTGCTAATCCTTGTCTTTTGATTGGTATATTTAGGCCACTTAAAGATAATTATTGTTATGTTAGCACTTGTCTGATATTTTATTATTTATTTGCTATTCAGTTCTTACACCTAAATTTATTTTATATTGTCTTTCTGTAGGTTACTAAAACATGTTTTAGGATTCCATTATGACTTACTTATAGTGTTTTTGAGTGTATCTCTTTGTAAAGTTACTTATAGTGGTTGCTCTTGGTATTATACTAAACAAAAATGTACAAAATTTGGGATAAAGATAAATATGTGTTAATAGTAAAACAAAAGATTAGGTAGATGCTAGTGATTATTATGGCCCTTGATTTTTCATCTAGAAATCTTGTAGTTTGATTAAACCAATTTTCACACTCTGTTTTTCTTATAAAACCAAAAGAAAGTTTAGTTGCAATTACAAAGCTTCTATTCTACATTAACTTTGGGAAATTCAGGGATTACTAGTCAAAAATCTGTATTCCATTCTTCTAAGCCAAAGAGCTAGGAGATCACCAGGGATTCTGCTGCCCTTGGAGCAGCGATGTAGTTGACTATTTAATGTGCAGCCAGGGATTGCATTTACCAGCTCCTACCTTTGCATGTAGGTGAAGTCATGTAACTTGTTCTGGTTGATAGAATGTGGCCAAAGTGGTGAGTCACTTCCATGGCAAAATGGTTAAATAACCTGAATGCTTTTGTTAAACGTTTTTTTCTTCTTTTCTTCTCCCCTTCCAGGCTGCAAGATGGATGATAGAAGCATAAACTTGAAAATGGGAACAGCCCGAATACCAAAGTCACTGCTCAGATGAGAGACACCCAAAAAGCCAGCAGATCAGGAACATTCATATTTGATTCTGAGTAAGAATTTTTTTTTCTTTTTTTAAGCCACTGACATTTTGAGGTAGTATATTGCAGAAATTAGCCTATTTTTCATATAAATATTTCTTTATAGAACACCTTTCATTCCTGGTATTTTTCTCTCTCCCCTTCCTTATGCAGTTTATTCCATATTGCATTATTATTATGACAGGATTTTTGCTGGATTGGATTATTCTCAATTCTCTATCCACTGCTGCCATGTGATGTTGCAGTGTAACAGAGGGGGTGAGGTATATTTACCTCCTCCATTGATATTGGGCTTGCAATATACTCCCCTCCACCCCTTGATTAGTTATATTTGAGCAAAAGTGAAGATGTGCTAGTCTAGAACGAAGGCCTTAAGAAACAGCATGTATTGCTATTTATAATCTTGAATCTCCATGATCTCTCAATAAGGAGAACTGGCCCCGGCCCTGGATAGACTGGTCTATGTTATTCACTGGTCTAAGATAAATGAAAGAGACACATAAGGTCAAACAGACCCCAGCCTAAAGCTTTGAGGCAAGCCCAGTTGATTCTCAGCTGAGAAAGAATAATAAATGATTATTTGGGGGAATTACAGGTTTTGGAATTTGGAAATTTAATTTAAAGCATCATTGTTTTGGCAATAACTGATGAATACAGTATATATTTAAATCAAAGGGAATTGTCTTTAAAGTTGCCAATAATTGACAGAAAGAAAGAAAACAGCAACAACAAAACGAACCTTCCAAAAAGGAAATTAAGAAAGTCGTCTTCTATTCCTGGTTTGCTTAGAGTTTTTATCATGAAAGGGTGTTTCATTTGTTCAAATGCTTTTCTGTATTTATTGACATCATCATATAATTTTCTTTTCCTTCATGCTACTAATGTGATGTATTACATTAACTGATTTTCTTATTTTGGATAATCCTTGTATTCCTGGGATAAATCCCATTGGTTATAGAGTCTAATCCTTTTAATGTGCTATTGAATTTGGTTTGCCAGGATTTTGTGGAGGACTTTTGTGTCCCTATTCATAAGGGATATTGGTCTGTAGTTTTCTTGTGGTATCTTTGTCTGGCTTTGGTTCAGGGTAATGCTGGCATCCTAGAATGTGTTAGGAAATACATCTCCTCTTCTATTTTTTGGAAGAGTTTATGTAGGATTGGTGTTAATTTTTTAAATGTTTGGTGGAACTCAGCAGTGAAGCCATATGGTCCTGAGCTATTCTTTATTGGGAGGTTTTTGATTACTGATCCAATTTCTTTACTTGTTATAGGTCTCTTGAGATTTTCTATTTCTTCTTGAGCCAGTTTTGAAGATTTGTGTGTTTCTAGGAGTTTTTCCATTTGATCTAGTTTATCTAATTTGGTGAACAGTTGTTCGTATTATTATCATATAATCCTTTTTATTCCTCTACATTCAGTAGTGATTCCATTTCTGATTTTAATTACTTGTGTCTTCTTTCCCTTTTTCCTACTCCGTCTGACTCAAGGCTTGTAATTTTGTTGTTCTTTTCAAAGAAACAGGTTTTGTTTTTGTTGCTTCTATTTTTTTTTTCTGTTCTCTATTTATCTCCACTCTAATCTTTATTCTTTTCATCCTTCTGCTGCCTTTGTGTTTAGTTTGCTCTTCTTTTTCTACTTTCTTAAGGTACAATATTTGGTTGTTGATTTGAGAGTTCTTTTTTGATCTATAGCTACAAAGTTGTAAAATGATAAGGGTTAGTGATATCAATATTTTATGTGTATTGACTGTTGGTAAGGATGTGGAGAAACATGAACCCTCATACACTGGTGGTGGGAATGTAAAACAGTGTAGCCATAGTGGAAAAAAGTTTCGTGGCTCCTCAAGAGGCTAAACATAGCGTTACCATATGACCGAGCAATCTACTCCCAACTGTATACCTATGAGAAATTATATGTCCACAAGGAAACTTACACATAAATATTTATAGTAGCATTATGCATAATAGCCAAAAGGTAGAAACAATCCAAATGTCCATCAGTGGATGAGTGGATAAAGAGATTGTGGCATATATATACACAATGGAATACTATTGAGCTATAAAAAGGAACAAAATACTGATACATGCTACAACTTGGATGAACCTTGAAAACATTATGCTAAGTGGAAGAAGTCAAAAACAGAAGACATATTGTATGATTTCTATATATATAAACATAATGTATTCAGTATAAGCAATCCATGGAGATAGAAAGTAGATTAAGGGTTACCAGGGAATGAGGGTGGGGGAGTGATTACTTAACGGGTACTGGGCATTTGAATGGGGAGATGAAATAGTTTTGAAGCTAGAGAGAGCTGGTTGCTGTACAACATTATGAATATCATTGAATATCACTGAAATGTGTACTTTAAAACAGTTCATTTTATTTCATGTTAATTTTACCTTAATAAAAATATTTTAAAGTCAGTTAAGAAACAATAACTTGATTAAATCTCCTTGAGGGAAAATACTTTCATATCTTTTGCATAAGAGCTCGACAAAGTGCTAGAAACTGAGCAGCTGAGGATAAGTCCTTATTGACTGTAAAAAGCCATAATAAGCAATGTCATTGGGGCAAGGGCCACTTAAAACTGCAACTTGCTAAAGCAATAGCAAATTCATGGTAGCCATTCCTTCAAGTGGCCTATGTAGTTCACTTGAAGTGAACTACAATTTGAATATGCAAAAGTCAGTAGGGATTCTCAAAAGAATGCTGGCAACTTTTACTGTCTGTACTGGAGCTGCCCTCCAGATCCCTGTCAGTGGCTGTGGCTGTTCACCTGCAGTGACAGGCATTTGAGAGGAAATACTTGCCGCCACCTGGCACTGAATTCCCCCTAGGCTTCTCATGTTTTAGAAATTTTCTGTAGGTCAGCAGATGTAGCAGTTTGCCTACTCCCAAGAAAGCGGTACCCCATTTTCAGAATGTCATTACCATGGCAGAAAAATCATAAAATTAGGATACACAAGTATTTATCCTGCTACCTAATGCAAAGCAGAATTGTTCCCTACAGCATATACTCAAATGCTTTGGTGCTAATTTTAAACAATTCAGCTTTGACATACTTTTTTTTTTTTTTCTTTTTTAGTGCCTGGTATGGCACCCAGTGATTTAGAGTCTACAGCTCTGCTGTTTTGAATGTTTACTGGATGGAGGACACGGTTTGTGGGAATCTGAATAAAACAAATGCTCTCATTTACATAGGAATAGGCTTCCAAAGAGGTGTGGGCACTCCACCTTTGCCGACTCTCTTTAGAAAGAGGAAGTATGTATTGTAGGAAAAAAAAAAAAAAGGAGAAAATAAATATTGTAAAGTGACTCTAATTGGGACCAGGTTTCTGTCCCCATGACAGTACAATGTTTCAAACTGTCTGGGAACTGTGTGCGCAGCATTTGAGGCATTGTCTTCTTCCTCCCTGCTGCTATTTCATTTAACAGGCTATCATAGGGTTCAACTCTGCCATTCTCTTCGGATGATCCTCAGTGTCTTTGGGCGTGGCTTAATTTTCCAAATCCATTTTAGTTATCGGTATATCTCTCCATTGCTTAGAGAAGTGTTGGGAAAACATGAGGCAATGCTTATTTGTGGCTATTTGATACAGATCATATGAGAATCAGGAAGATTATATAAATGAAAGTCTGTTCAACATCACTTCAGTGTGAGTGTAACTGCTTTCTACTTAGAGCACCAGGTTCTAGGGATGCAAAATGTATTACACAGGATCTTTATCCTTAGACTACTTCTGGAGCACTCACCGGGAAAATGAAAAGTGCCACCTAGAATACAAAGGGATTATCAACCATTGAATAAAAGGCATCTGCGATGGAAAAATTCTGGCTATACTCCTGTAGTGAGCTAAGATCAAGGGGTTCAAAACCAAAGGAGAGCTGAGGGAATAAGTAACTGTGTTAATGCCGGAGGAAGGGTTTTGCTGCTGTGGCTATACCCCAAAAGGGGTGACAATTGGCAGATATGCAAATTAGCATTTACAACAGCTTGCTTCATAGGGCTATATTTCTTTAAAAGATGCTGATTTTTTTTTTTACTGGTGTTATCTATTTTTTTCTGTGTGGTACATTACCCTTTAATTTGAGGTCCACATAGCATCAAGATCCTGGATGATTTTATTTGTTAATGAAGAATATTTTTAGAGCAGAGAATCACACATGTTTAGAAAGAACTCTTATCACAAAGTTACAGACATAATTTATTTTTATTTGAAAAGAGGCTTACGAAAGTTTAGCCAGGCATATTTGGTGTGGATGATGATGATCCAATAAAGTCATGGGATTTTGAAGGGCCTCTGCCATCAATCTTGCAGTCTGGTGGGGGATCATTGCCTGTTCCCAGGGTCCTTGATCAGCCCTCTCTGCCAATAGTTTGGCTTCTGTTGTCTGCCTTAGGGTGCAGTTAATTGCTTTTGCCCAGCATACTTCTTCAATGTCTTCTCTAGTCTCTTTAGTATGACAATACTACATGACCTTTGGTTGGTCTTTGCTTACAGACCCTGCGAGTTTCTCATGCAGCATTTGGAAAAATCCAAGTTGATGATTTCCAAATACTCGTTGCTATTGAGTTTTAAGTACATGAAAACTTATCATAGATTTTTATACAATGTTTAGAGTAGTTACCATAATCTGGTTGGTGTTAACATGTTTAATTTGCTGACAGTCTCTAACAATGGAGATTGCAGAACAAGTATTATGTCTTATCTGTTATATACACCTGAAGATCATAGAAATATACCTTGTTTATGTAATTAAAATATAATTCTTTTTTTAACTTTCATTTTTTTAAAAAGATTTTATTTATTTGACAGAGGGAGAGAGAGAGAGCACAAGCAGAGGGAGCAGGAAGAGGAAGAAGCAGGCTCCCCGCTGAGCAAGGATCCTTGCCCAATGTGGCGCTCTGATGCCAGGACTCTGGGATCATGACCTGAGCCTAAGGCAGCCACTTAACCGATTGAGCCACCCAGGTGCCCTAAAATATAATTCTTGAATTAAAATACT